TTCGAGCAAGTACCACACCACTTTTCCTGCAACTTGGCATTCTTGATGTGTATAAATTATGTAAGTACAATACATGTTTATTTGCATACGATTTGAAAAATGGCCACCATGCACACTCTCTGGATCATTACGGCTTATCAATATCACATCCATACTATACACGATCAGTAACCTCTGAGAAACTTGTCACGCCACAAATTAATTTAAGTTCAACTAAGAAAAGTCTGACATTTTCTCTTGTAAAACATTGGAATGAGCTCCCAACTTCGTTAAAAACATTAACTTTACGAAACTCGTTCAAAACGGCATTAAAACAATATCTTTTAACTGATGTACAAATACTTGCATTATTGTAGTATATGTATTGATATTGTCTATTTTTGTTTTCTTCATTATTATTGATTATGAGAGTTTGTAGTCTCTTTACTTACTTAATTATGTATTTATTTATTTTTAACTTAACAATATATTTTTTTGTGTGTATCACTATTCACAACAACGTATATTTTAACAGTTGAGTATGGTTTTGGGGCCAGGGACAAGATTAGTTCTGCTAGAACTACCTCTCTGGTCCCCACCAGGAATAATATATATATTTAATATTCATTCAGATAAAGTTCCCTGTACAATTGTCTCTTTTTTCTGGTGGAATAAATCTATTCTATTCTATTCTATTCTATTCTATTCTATTCTATATATGGTCGAATGATGTAGTAATGGAATGAAATGAATGCAAACCGTCGTCATCAACTGCTGCTGCAACCGCTATTTCCTTGCAATGCTACATTGACGTGAAAAAACAATTGTTTTTCGAATCATCTTTGGCGTTCTTGTTCATGAATCATCTTTGCCGTTGAATATAATTTCAGTATAGCAATTATTATAGGGGCCATATAACAGATCGACAAATGAGGGCGCGATTTCGGAACGAGCCGAGTGGGTTCCTGGTGAGTCCCGACTAACGTGAACGCAAGTGCCTTTCTCAATCCCTCTGTAAACACAATATATTGCAAATTTCGGCAAGTGCAAAGATCCCATAACGTGAACGAAGCAAATAACCAACCTACTATTAGGTATATCTAATATATATAACTGTGGGATTCAATATAATAGTTTAGGCATCAATAAAATAAAACGTTCCAGATTACTAATTAATGTCACGTACAGATTTGACTAATGGGAAACAAAAGACCATTATTATCACATAATTATTATTTATATATATCATTTATACTGAAATCAAGCTTATATAGACAAATTACACACGCAATCATAAAATATTACTCGTTTATGATACCTCAAACGTTTATATTAAATTTCAAAGAGGCCATACACATTGTCACTTTAAATCTCACTATACACTGAATTAGGCCATACTATATGTCACGTGAGATGTCACTATACACTGAATTAGGCCAAAAAGATTGTCACATTTCTGTCAATGTAAACCTGGGATTCTGTTCTTGACTTGAATTCCCTCAATGTACACCTGAGATTCTCTTCTTGACTTTATTCCTGTCAATGTACACCTGAGATTCAGTTCTTGACTTGATTCCTGTCAATGTACACCTGAGATTCTGTTCTTGACTTTATTCCTGTCAATGTACACCTGAGATTCTGTTCTGACTTTGATTCCTGTCAATGTACACCTGAGATTCTGTTCCTGACTTGATTCTTGTCAATGTACACCTGGGATTCTGTTCTGACTTGATTTCCGTCAATGTACACCTGAGATTCTGTTCTTGACTTGATTTCTGTCAATGTACACCTAAGATTCTGTTATTGGCTTGATTTCTGTCAATATACACCTAACATTCTGTTCCTGACTTGATTCCTGTAAATATACACCTGAGATTCTGTTCCTGACTTGATTTCTGTCAATGTACACCTGAGATTTAGTTCTTGACTTGATTTCTGTCAATGTACACCTGAGATTCTGTTCTTGACTTGATTTCTGTCAATGTACA